ATAATACGTACAAACTCAAAGTCATCCTCGGGATAAAAGTAAAGAGTACCACTTTGTTGGTCGGTCTTCATAACTTCCTTTAAATTATTACTGACACGAACAGCTTCACTAAAACAGTCATTCCTCTTTTTCCTCCGCAGAAGGGTCATGTCGGGATATAAATGTGACACAACTGGTTGTAAGGGATTCTGCCCCGAGGACTGTGTCTCACCCATCGGTGTGTTTCCTGTTAGTGGGACATCTCTGGTGGAGACCAGTGGTGGGTGTTGCCTGGGGGAGCGGGCTGGTCCTGGGCTGGTAGTTAGCGGGGGCTGATGTCGTCCTGGGCTGATAGTTAACGGGGACAACTGAAGTCCTGGGCTGGTAGTTAGCAGGGACTGCTGTAGTCCTGGGCTGGTAGGTAGCAGGGGCTGCTGTAGTCCTGGGCTGGTAGTTAACAGGGACTGCTGTAGTCCTGGGCTGGTAGTTAGTGGGGACTGCTGTAGTCCTGGGCTGGTAGTTAACAGGGACTGCTGTTGTCCTGGGCTGGTAGTTAGCAGGGGCTGCTGTAATCCTGGGCTGGTAGTTAACGGGGACTGCTGTAGTCCTTGGCTGGTAGTTAGTGGGGACTTCTGTAGTCCTTGGCTGGTAGTTAGTGGGGACTTCTGTAGTCCTTGGCTGGTAGTTAGCTGGGACTGCTGTAGTCCTGGGCTGGTAGTTAACAGGGACTGCTGTAGTCCTGGGCTGGTAGTTAACAGGGACTGCTGTAGTCCTGGGCTGGTAGTTAGCAGGGGCTGCTGTAATCCTGGGCTGGTAGTTAACTGGGACTGCTGTAGTGCTTGGCAGGTAGTTAGTGGGGACTGCTGTAGTCCTTCGCTGGTAGTTAGTGGGGACTTCTGTAGTCCTGGGCTGGTAGTTAACAGGGACTGCTGTAGTCCTGGGCTGGTAGTTAACAGGGACTGCTGTAGTCCTGGGCTGGTAGTTAACAGGGACTGCTGTAGTCCTGGGCTGGTAGTTAGCAGGGACTGCTGTAGTCCTGGGCTGGTAGTTAGTGGGGACTGCTGTAGTCCTGGGTTGGTAGTTAACAGGGACTGCTGTAGTCCTGGGCTGGTAGTTAACAGGGACTGCTGTAGTCCTGGGCTGGTAGTTAACAGGGACTGCTGTAGTCCTGGGCTGGTAGTTAGTGGGGACTGCTGTAGTCTTGGGCTGATAATTAGCGAAGACTGCTGTAGCCAAGTGGAGTGCAGAGGTGTTGTGTGGTTAATGTGTGATGTGAGCAGTGCCAGAGACGCAGAAGATGGAATATAGTCCCCCAAGACTATGCCCATCGTCCAGTACCCCCATAGAATCACGCACACTTTCTGGAGCGTCCCTTCCATCAGAGACTTTTAATAGTTTCTCTTGGTATACCCAGTCGTCAGAAAGACCTGAGATACACTAAACAGGGTCCAGCTCACAAGACGTCTCTTCGTGTAACCTATCCGTCAACTGTTCGTTTCTTACTGTGTTGTCTTTTATGCTTGTCTTGCTCGCTTTTACGGCACCCCAATCTTCACACACGCACACACACACACACACACACACACACACACACACACACACACACACACACACACACACACACACACACACACACACACACACACACACACACACACACACACTGGAAAAGGTTCAAAGGTTTGCCACCAGACTAGTACCCGAGCTGAGAGGTATGAGCTACGAGGAGATACTACGGGAATTAAACCTCACTTCGCTGGAAGACAGAAGAGTTAGGGGGGACATGATCACCACATTCAAGATTCTGAAGGGAATTGATAGGGTAGATAAAGACAGTCTATTTAACACAAGGGGAACATGCACAAGGGGACACAGGTGGAAACTGAGTGCCCAAATGAGCCACAGAGATATTAGAAAGAACTTTTTTAGTGTCAGAGTGGTTGACAAATGGAATGCATTAGGAAGTGATGTGGTGGAGGCTGACTCCATACACAGTTTCAAGTGTAGATATGATAGAGCTCGATAGGCTCAGGAATCTGTACACCTGTTGATTGACGGTTGAGAGGCGGGACCAAAGAGCCAGAGCTCAACCCCCTCAAACACAACTAGGTGAGTACAACTAGGTGAGTGCACACACACACACACACACATACACACACACACACACACACACACACACACACACACACACACACACACACACACACACACACACACACACACACACACACACACACACACACACACACACACACACACACACACACACACACACACACACACACACACACACACACACACACACACACACAAGAGGTCTGGGAAAGGAGAGTTGACTACACGAAAGGGGACTATAGGATGATAAGGGACTATCTGGGAGAAGTGCAGTGGGAGGAAGAAATTTGAGGAAAAACAGTCCAAGATATGATGGACCTAGTCATACAGAAATGCCAGGAGGCCGAAGAGAGATTTATACCAACAGTAAAGGGAAAAATAAGGGCATATAATAACCCATGGTTTAATAGACAGTGCCAGGAAGCAAAAATGGCCAGCAGGCGGGAGTGGAGGAAGTACAGAAGACAAAGGACAGAGGACAACAGGATCAGATGCAACAGAGCTAGGAACGATTACATTAACATAAGACGAACATCGTAAAGGGACTATGAGAACGATATTGCGATGAAAGCAAAAAAGCAACCTAAGTCACTACACAGCCATATAAGAAAAAAAATGTTGGTGAACGACCAAGTGACAAGACTAAGGAAAACAGAGGGGGCATATACTGAAAGTGACAAGGAAATCTGCGAGGCACTGAATGCCAGTTTCCATGGAGTGTTCACTACCGAGCCTGAGCAGCTCACATTGTTAGAAGGGATTACCCTAGATGAAAGACTATCAGATATAGAGGTGACAGCAGAGGAGGTAATGAGACAGTGTTGACAACACTGGATGCAACTAAGGCGGTTGGGCCAGACAAAGTATCACCGTGGATACTAAAAGAAGCAGCGCAGGCCCTCAGCGTGCCTCTGGCAATGATCTTTAATGAGTCACTTATGTCGGGAGAATTGCCCAGTTGCTAGAAGAAGGCAAATGTCGTACCGATCTTCAAGAAAGGCGATAGGGAGGAGGCACTTAACTTTAGACCTGTATCACTGACAAGCATCCCCTATAAAATACTAGAAAGAATAATTAGGCTACGACTGGTTGCACACCTGCAGAACGTTAGGTTTGTGAACAAACATCAACATGGGTTCTGGAAAGGGAAATCGTACCTAACAAACCTTTTGGAATTCTATGATAAAATAACGAGGATAAGACAGGACAGAGATGGTTGGGCAGATTGCATATTTCTGCACTGCCAAAAAGCCTTTCATACAATACCGCACATGAGACTGCTGTTCAAACTCGAGAGGCAGGCGGGGGTGGGAGGAAAGGTCCTAGCATGGATAAGGAACTACCTAACAGGAAGGAGCCAAAGAGTTACGGTAAGGGGCGAGAAGTCCGATTGGCGAACAGTAACGAGTGCAGTACCACAAGGATCGATGCTGGGACCAATTCTATTTCTAACATATGTTAACAACATGTTTACAGGAGTAGAGTCCTACATGTCGATGTTCGCGGATGACGCAAAGTTGATGAGAAGAATTGTGACAGATGAGGATTGCAGGATCCTCCAAGAGGACTTGAACAGGTTGCAGAGATGGTCAGAGAAATGGCTACTGTAGTTCAACACGAGCAAATGTAAAGTTATGGAAATGGAACTAGGTGATAGGAGACCAGAGGAACAGTACACAATGAAGGGGAACTGCTTACCTGTGACGACGCGAGAAAAAGACCTGGGCGTGGACGTAACACCTAATCTGTCTCCTGAAGCACATATAAATAGGATAACGACAGCAGCGTACTCTACACTGGCAAAAGTCAGAACATCATTCAGAAACCTAAGTAAGTAGGCCTTTAGGGCTCTTAATTTATTTACACTGCCTGCGTGAGGCCAGTCTTAGAGTATGCCGCCTCATCATGGAGTCCCCATCGGAAGAAGCATATAAGGAAACTGGAAAAGGTTCAGAGGTTTGCAACGAGACTCGTCCCAGAGTTACGAGGGATGGGGTATGAGGAGCGCCTGAGGGAACTGTGCCTTACGGCACTAGAAAGAAGGGAGAGGGGGGACATGATAGGAACGTATAAAATACTCAGGAGGATTGACAGAGTGGACATAGACGAAATGTTCACACGGAATAGTAACAGAACGAGGGGACATGGGTGGAAGCTGGAAACTCAGAGGAGTCACAGGGACGTTAGGAAGTTTTCTTTTAGCGTGAGAATAGTGGGAAAATGGAATGCACTTAAGGAACAGGTTGTGGAAGCAAATACTACTCATAATTTAAAAACTAGGTATGATAGAAAATAGGACCATAGTCATTGCTGTAAACAACCGATGCCCGAAAGGTGGAATCCAAGAGTCAATGTTCGATCTTGCAGACACAAATAGGTGAGTACAAATAGGTGAGTACACACACACACAAGAGGGAGTGAGAGACGACAAATCATGTCGACATACAAGAAAGGCGACAATACAGAGACGGACTTCCTGGCCAGGGTACAGCAGGACTTTGAGCTCACAGGAAGGGCGCTACAGGATGTGATGAATCACCTCATTCGTATATGATTTGTTTGTTCTGTTCCGAAGAGCGAGTTTATAGGGTAACGCCACTCATCCTGTGAGTGAGTATATTGCCTTATCAAAATGTACAGCACCACCCAACGCAGCTGCGTTGTTCATCACTTGTTTCCAGACGCACAAGTGAGGTACAAGTGACGTCACTTGTACCACTCACTCGAAAATGATGTAGCATTTCACACGAACACAAAGATGATGAATCACCTCACAGGAATATGTAACTCAGCTCAGGATTCGTTCCTGGGGACACTCTGGTTCAGTACAGGCTAAGCCTCTTGTATACCTTGAACCAATATGTATACTGTAGCCTAATTTCAACTGTAAAGAAAATTAAAAAACATTAAATCTTAATATTTTATTGCATAATGATATCTTGAGAATTCAGACCTTTATTGTTAAATTTTTTTTATACAATATACATTTGTATATTTTATACAGTATTATAAAAGACAGAAATTATTAATAATGTCAGCAGTCTTCAGCAAGAAATGTGATACCTAACGATCGAGTTATAAGCCCACTTCGGGCTCGCTATAGCCCGTGCTACTTGCAACTTTAGTTCCGAGTAGCTGAATCTAAACAACAACAACGTTAATGAGCAGTTGAATTTGTGCAAAATATTAACAATACTTTATGTACAATAAATTTGAATAACATAATTTGTACATTAATTTGTTCTACAAATTGGTTCAACTGCTGCTTCTCTATGTTAATCAATGAGTAATTAAAAAAAATATAAAACACTTCATGATGTAGTTCAATGACTAGTGAGTAATTATATAACACATGGTACTGCCTCAGTAATCAGCGAGTAATTAGGAAACTATATATAACTCTACAAGATGGCAGTTAGGTGATCAATGATTAACTGTAAAATACAAATAACACCTCAAGATGTTAGGTATATGATTAATGAGTAATTAAATAAGACACATACACTGTAACACCATTGATATTCCCATAATTCTAAAATTCTTATAGAGTTATGGAATAAGACACACGTAGTTCCAATATTCAAGAAAGGCGGACAGAGAGGAGGCACTAAATTACAGACCAGTGTCACTGACAAGTATTCCTTGCGAAGTGCTGAGAGAGTAATCAGGTCAAGAATAGTGGAGCATCGAGAGATGATGAAATTTGTAATAGAATGGCAGCATGGATTTAAAAGGGGAAAGTCATGCCTGACAAACTTGAACGAGTTCTACGACAAGGTTACTAGAATACGACAAGAAAAAGTAGGCTGGGTAGATTGCATTTTCCTAGACTGTCAAAAGACATTTGATACTGTTCCTCGTGAAAGGCTCGTGTACAAGATTTAGAAGAAAGCTGGGATAATTGGGAAAACATTAATCTGGATAAGGGAATACCTGAAGGACAGAAGATAACGAGTCACAGTGAGAGGCGAGGTCTCCAGCTGGAGGAATGTAACAGGTGGGATCCCCAGAGGATCGGTCCTGGGACAACTACTGTTGCTAATTTATGCTAATGATCTACCTGAGGGAGTGACCTCGTACATGTCAATATTTGCAGACGATGCCAAAATAATGAGGAATGTGAAAATAGAGGAGGATTGCAGTATAACAAAATCCATAAATTGACAAGCAAGTGGTTGATGGAGTTCAGTCCCAATAAGTATAAGGCAATGAAGATGGGGAAGGAAGAAAGAAAGAAAGAAGACCAGAAGGTGTCTACACCATTAATGGAAGGCAATTGCAGGAATGTGAGAGAAAGAAATTTGGGAGTGGATATAATTCCATCACTAACACCAGAGGCACACACAGGCAGGGTGACATCAGCAGCATATGAGACGCTGGCAAACATTAGAACGTCGTTTAGTAACTTAAGTCAGGGCGCGTTCAAAGCAATCTACACAGCTTTTGTTAGCTCAATACTGGAATATGCAGCACCTGCTTGGCATCCATACCTTGTGAAACATACAACTATAATCGAAAAAGTGCAGAGGTTTGCTACTAGATTATTGCCAGAGCTTAGAGGGTTAAGTTATGATGATAGGCTGAAGGAACTGGATCTCACAACCTTGGAAGACAGAAGGAATAGAGCAAATATGGTAACAACGTACAAGATACTGAGGGGAATAGACAAGGTGGACAAGGACAGCCTCTAAGTTTAAAGAAAGTGGGACAAGAGAACACAAGTGGAAGCTGGAGTCACAAATGAGTCGAAGAAATATAAGGAAGTACTCGACCCTGTACGGGAGGTCAACAAGCGGAATGTACCAAGAGTTGTGGAAACCGCCTCCATTCATAACTTTAAGGAAAGGTTCGACAAAGATAGAATAGCGAAGCTTTAACGCAACTGGTACAACAAGGCTGGTTCTCGGGGCATGAAAAGAAAGACCTCACTTCCCCGTAGTCACCGAAAGGTAAGAATATGATACTGTACTTGATAACAAGCATTGTTCCTAAACAAGGATCACTAATACATAACATTTTCAACTGGCGGAAGTCTCTGTACTGACTTCAGACAATTGCTGTCACTTTAAAACAAACAATAATGATAATTATCATCATAACAATATCAGCAACATCATTAAACACAATTTTTAAATTTATGATAACGATCATAATTTAAATTATGAAGATAAACATCTGACGACGATTAATAACTGTCAGTTGTTGGAGGTGTTGAGATATCAATATTGAATCAAGCAGCTGCAGAAAACCTTAGTTCCTTAGTTCCTGCGATGCTTAACTTCGATGTCCAAAGGCCTTGGAGAAGGTTGGGGAAGGAAGGCGGGAGAGAATTTGAAATTCTGGACAAGAATGGGGACAATTCTGTGGGGAAATTCTGGACTAACACTATACAGCGATAGTGTTATCCATATATCCGGGACTCATTAATACAGTGTTACCATTGTATAGCAATGAGGAGCCGGGCCTCCCGCCAGGGGTCGCGGGGGGCGGCGCCGCTGACGGTGTTGTCCCCGGTGTGGGGCGACCCTCAAATGTCCGGCTGCTTCGCCCAGATCCTGACCTCATACTGGATCTGGTGGAAATCCTGGAGGATCGTAGCTCCGCCTAGATCCTGACCTCGTCATACATTGGGTTGTCTGAGGCTTCTGGAGGATGAGTCCGTGACGCTGGAGGAATGCCAAGCTTGCTGGTGCGGCCTTCTGGAACAGTTATCTGATTAGTTATGTGTTCTTACCAATTTAATTTGATAAAATTAGTAAATACAATGGTAGTACAAATGGCAACTCTTACAAATACACAACGGAATATTAAACTCTCACTTGCAGCAGTAAATATTACATCCTCACACACAGCAGTCTCTCATTAAGGGTCATCTCCTCTTCTAACAATGGGAGCTGCTCAGACTGGGTTGTGAACACTCCGAGGAAACCAGTGTTCAGTACCTCGCAGATCTCCTTATCACTTTCTGCATGTATTCCTCCCGTTATCCGTAGTTGTGTCACTTAGTCATCCACTGTCATTTTCCTTCTTATATGACTATGTAGTTGTTTTGGTGGTTTCTTTGCTTTGATATCAATATCGTTCTCTCAATTTATTTCCGATACTCTTCTTATATTTATGTATTCGTTCCCAGCTTTGTTGCATCTATTCCTGTTTTCCTCTGTTCTTTGACTTCCTGCCTACCTTCATTCCTACCTTCTTGTCTGCTTTCCTGCCTACCTTCCTGAATGCATCCCTGCCTCCCAACCTTCCTGCCTGCCTTTCCACTGTAGATAATCAGAACACAGTCAAGACACTGTAGGAATCAGAACACCCTCAAGACACTGTAGATAATCAGAACACCCTCAAGACACTGTAGAGAATCAGAACACCCTCAATATAAGAGCGAGATGGCTATTAACAATTAACTGTCATAATATCGGAATATATATAATGAACCTAACCTCTCGTTACTGACAACTACATTACTGAACGCAACTCGGATTGAAGTAGGAGTTAGACCCACAATTATACCACGAGTCCATAATCATTATATACATAAGGGTATATATGCTGTGGCAAATATTCCCTTCTATGTTCACTATTTCTAAGTGCTTAAGCTCTTTGAATATATTTTTTACTTGAATATTATCGCCAATTTATCTTAGTAAGCAACACCTACCAGCAAACTATATTTTTACGAATCATTAACCCTTTCACTGGTAATAACATTTGAGGGTATATCAAGTGAATTATAACAAATGGGTTTGCTTACTTCGGCTGCGACACCAAATGACGACAATAACGAGACCCACAGTGAAGACAATGGTCAGTACGACAACAGGAAGTATTGTATGGTCAACGAGCGCCTGGGTGTCGTCAGCAGCTGAGGGGAGTGTTGCCACAGGCGCCCCAGACTCTCCCCCAGCGGTGGTGTCGTCAGCAGCTGAGGGGAGTGTTGACACAGGCGCCCCAGACTCTCCCCCAGCGGTGGTGTCGTCAGCAGCTGAAGGGAGTGTTGCCACAGGCGCCCCAGACTCTCCCCCAGCGGTGGTGTCGTCAGCAGCTGAGGGGAGTGTTGCCACAGGCGCTCCAGGCTGTCCCCCAGCGGTGGTGTGGTCGGGGAGCGGGTTGAGGCAGTCTGGACCTGGGTCTCTGGTGCTCCAGTAAGACGACCCCTTAGCCTCTACCCTCATGTGATGAAACCAATTTAGATAATACAAGTAAGATGTTGGCGAATGATTAATACAATTATCTACTTTGACCATAATTCCCCATTTATTAGTCCCAGGAAGAGCCTCATAAGTACTAAACGCAAGAGTATACCAGCGTCGTGTTTCCTTGACACAAAGGTGTTCTTTGTTGAACACTTTGTCTTGTTCACCATGAGTTACTGTCAGTATAATACGTACAAACTCAAAGTCATCCTCGGGATAAAAGTAAAGAGTACCACTTTGTTGGTCGGTCTTCATAACTTCCTTTAAATTATTACTGACATGAACACCTTCACTAAAACAGTCCATCCTCTTTTTCCTCCGCAGAAGGGTCGTGTCGGGATATAAATGTGACACAATTGGTTGTAAAGGATTCTGCCCCGATGACTGTGTCTCACCCATCGGTGTGTTTCCTGTTAGTGGCACATCTCTGGTGGAGACCAGTGGTGGGTGTTGCTTGGGGGAGCGGGCTGGTCCTGGCCTGGTAGTTAGTGGGGACTGCTGTAGTCCTGGGCTGGTAGTTAGCGGAGACTGATGTAGTCCTGGGCTGGTAGTTAGCGAGGAGTGCTGTAGTCGTGGACTGGTCCTTAGCGAATACTGTTGCAGCCAAGAGGAGTACAGAGGTGTTGCGGGGTTGATGGGTGATGCGAGCTGTGGCAGAGACACGGAGGATGGCCAATCCCAGCAGCCACATAGGATTACACACACATTCAGGAGTTTACCCTCCATCAGCGTGTCTGTAATATCTCTTTGGTATATAACTAGTCACCCGAGAGAAACGATATACACTAAGCCAGGTCCAGATCTGCGTTGTTGTTGCTCTGTATTGCTTGATAACCACAGGACGTCTCATCCTGTAGCTGATATCTGGCAACTGTTCACTTGTTAGGTTTTCCTTATGTTTATAATGCTCTTTTTTCGACATGTCAGCTATAAACTGGAATGTGGTGCCTAAACACACACATGTTTTACACCTTCACTCACAACAGTAAACATTACACCCTCACTCACAACAGTAAATGTTACACCCTCACTCACAGCAGTAAATATTTCACCCTCACTCGCAACAGTAAATATTTCACCCTCACAACAGTAAACATTACACCCTCACTCACATCAGTAATCATTAGACTCTCACTCACAACAGTAAATATTTCACCCTCACTCACAACAGTAATCATTACGCTCTCACTCACAACAGTAAGTATTTCACCCTCACTCATAACAGTAAACATTACACCCTCACTCACAACAGTAAATATTACATCCTCACACACAGCAGTCTCTCATTAAGGGTCATCTCCTCTTCTAACAATGGGAGCTGCTCAGACTGGGTTGTGAACACTCCATGGAAACCAGTGTTCAGTACCTCGCAGATCTCCTTATCACTTTCTGCATGTATTCCTCCCGTTATCCGTAGTTGTGTCACTTAGTCATCCACTGTCATTTTCCTTCTTACATGACTATGTAGTTGTTTTGGTGATTTCTTTGCTTTGATATCAATATCGTTCTCTCAATTTATTTCCGATACTCTTCTTATATTTATGTATTCGTTCCCAGCTTTGTTGGATCTATTCCTGTTTTCGTCTGTTCTTTGATTTCCTGCCTACTTTTATTCCTACCTTCTTGTCCGCTTTCCTGCCTATCTTCCTGTATGTATCCCTGCCTCACTACCTTCCTGCCTGCTTGCCTCTTTATCTACCTTTCTGTCAAAACTGCCTGCCTGCATTCCTACCATCCTATCTGCCTTTATGTGTGCTTGCCTTAATGCCTGCTTTCCTGTCGTCTTGCCTGCATGCTCATATGCCTGCTCATCACCTATTCTGCCTACCTGGCTAACAGCCTGCCTGACTGCCATCTTCCAGGGTGCCTCTATGCATGCCCTCATTGCACTTGATATGTAATGGTCATAATGCTATTTCTGTATTATTTCAACAATTAAAATACAAATGTAACTTGAGTAATACTTTATTATGCAACAATTATTGCTTGATTTTTGTTAAACATTTATATATAGCTCTTTATTTGCATGCTTTGAGGCAATGACTTGTATAACTTTGAGGCAAACTTAAAAGTTGCCATAGTTGTTGTCTAATTTTGTATGGACAATATTGGTTTAGAAAGTTCTGGCAACCTATCTACAACTGCACACATTTATGTTCCTGCAACATCAGATAGATCGTTGGCACAACTTTGAAGAACTTCACAGTAACGTTGAAGCAACTAAACAATATTGGTGGAGTATGTGTTGTAAGGGAAGAAGGGGAGTGTATACTTACCTATCAGTGACTACGGGGGAGTGAGGTCTATCTCTTTATGCTCAGCCTACTATGCTTGTTGTGCTTGTTTGCTGGATGAGCACCTGTCCTCCTACAAAGAATGTCGCTTTTCGCTCGAATGTTTTACATAAGGCCAAAAATTGTCGTACTAGAAAATGGAAGCGGCTTGCGAAAATAACGTAATGTTCCGTTTTCTGTTTTAGGATCTCTGGTAGGTTAGGAGAGAACGTTTTCTTGACGTTGGGAAACCTTAGGAGGAAAGGCTGGGGCAATATACGGTTGAAAGTGCGTGCCTTGGGAAAGATAGCGAATATGTACAAGGAGAGAGAAAGGGAGGGTGTGTTCTAGTGGGGAGACAGAGAGGGTGTGAACTGCGGGAGCATATGGGTATGGTATGTGCTGGGGTGGGAGACAAGGAAGGGGGGAGTTAGGAGAGTATACAGAGGAGGAACAGTGAGCGTTTGAGGGGGTGAGATGGGTGGCATGTGTAAGTAAAGAGGATGGGAAGAGTGTGGAGCAGGGAAATAGAGAAGTTGTGAAGATGTTTACAGTGATAAGGGCAGCGTGTTTTGAAAATAGTTACAGTGGTAGGGGGAAACCGTGAGGGTGTGTGAAGTGAAGATGTAGAGGGAGTGTGGAGGAGACCTGGGCACTGGTGAACCCGGGCACCGCCTGGTACCTCATCTGGTTAATATTATATTTAGCATTTACACGTAAACCATAACTCACTCTACAGGAAAAGTGTAGGTGTGAGTTTAACGATTTGTGAGAAAAAGCTATGAATAAAGTTTCTGAACCTGAACTTCATGATGCTGTAGGGAATCAGAACACCCTCAATATAATAGCGAGATGGCTGTTAACAAATAATTGTCATTATATTGGAATAAATATGATGAACATAAGCTCTCGTTACTGACAACTACATTACTGAACACAACTCGGATTGAAGCGAGAGTTAGATCCACAATTATACCACGATTCCATAATTACTTTATACATAAGGGTATATATGCTGTGGTAAATATTCCGTTCTATGTTCAGTACTTCTAAGTGCCTAATTACATTTACTTGCTTTATTTTTTTACTTGAATATTATCGCCAATTTACCTTAGTAACACCTAAAAGCCAACGATACTTTTACGAATCATGCACCGCTTCACTGGTAATAACATTTGAAGGTATATCAAATGAATTATAACAAATGGTTTGCTTACTTCGGCTGCGACACCAAATGACAAAAATAACGAGATCCACAGTGAAGACAATGGTCAGTACGACAACAGGGAGTATTGTACAGTCAACGAGCGCCTGTTCAACAAACGCCTGGGTGTCGTCAGCAGCTGAGGGAAGTGTTGACACAGGCGTCCCAGGCTCTCCCCCAGCGGTGGTGCGGTCGGGGAGCGGGTTGAGGCAGTCTGGACCTGGGGCTCTGGTGCTCCAGAAAGACGACCCCTTAGCCACTACCCTCATGTGATAAAAGCTGTTCGCCCAGTGCAAGTAATCTATTGGTGATTTGTTTTTACAGTTATCTACTTTGACATAAATTCCCCATGTATCAACTTTCTGCGGTATGTGATAATGACCAGCACTAAACTCAAGGGTGTACCAGCGAGGTCCGTCCTGCCTACCTTCCTGAATGTATCCCTGCCTCACTACCTTCCTGCCTGCTTGCCTCTCTATCTACCTTTCTGTTAAAACTGCCTGCCTACATTCCTTCCATTCTGTCTGCCTTTATGTGTGCTTGCCTTCATACCTGCTTGCCTTAATGCCTGCTTACCTTCATACCTACTTTCCTGTCGTCTTGCCTGCATCCTCATATGCCTGCTCATCACCTATTCTGCCTACCTGGCTAACAGCCTGCCTGACTTCCAGGGTGCCTCTATGATGCCCTCATTGCACTTGATATGTAATGGTCATAATACTATTTCTGTATTATTTCAACAATTAAAATACAAATGCATCTTGAATTATACTTTATTATGCAACAATTATTGCTTGATTTTTGTTAAATATTTATATATAGGTTTTTATTTGCATGCTTTGAGGCAATGACTTGCATAACTTTGAGGCAAACTTAAAAGTTGCCATAGAGTCTCTAATTTTGTATGGACAATATTGGTTAGAAAGTTTTGGCAACCTATCTACTACTGCAAATATTTGTTCCTGCAACATCAGGTAGAACGTTGGCACAACTTTCAAGAACTATACAGTAACGTTCCAGCAACTAAACAATTTTGGTGGGATATGTGTTGTAAGGGAAGAAGGGGAGTGTATACTTACCTATCAGTGACTATGGGGGAGTGAGGTCTATCTCTTTATGCTGTTTATTATGCTTGTTGGGCCTGTTTGGTGGGTGAGCACCTGTCGACTGTCTTCCTACAAAGAATGTCTCTTTCCGCTCGTATGCATTACAAAAGGCCAAAAATTGTCGTACTAGAAAATGGAAGTGGAAAGTAAGTTAGGAGGGGACACGTTAAATTGACCGTTTACTTGACGTTGAGAAACCTTAGGTGGACGGGCTGGGGTGAGAAATGGAGTTCAAAGTGTTTGCTTTGGGAAAAGGAGAGAATATGTACTAGGGGAGAGGAAGGGAATGTGTGTTCTAGTGTGGAAACAGAGAGGGTGTGAACTGGGGGAGCACATGGGTATGGTATGTGCTGGGGTGGGAGACAAGGAAGTGAGACTGTTAGGGGAGAAGGGGAGAGTGTGCAGAGGAGGAACAGTGAGGGTTTGTAGGGGTGAGACAGGTGGCAAGTGTAAGAATGGGAGATGGGAAGAGTGTGGGGGAGGGGAAATAGAGAAAGTGTGAAGATGTTTACAGTGATAAGATCAGCGTGTTTAAAAAATAGTTATAATGATAGGGGGAAACGGGGGAGTGTGTGTGAAGTGAAGATGTAGAGGGAGTGTGGAGGAGACCTGGGCACTGGTGAACCCGGGCACCACCTGGTACCTCATCTAGTTAATATTATATTTAGCATTTACTCGTAAACCATAATTCATTTTACAGGAAAAGTTTAGTCGTGAGTTTAACGATTTGTGAAAAAAAGCTGTGAATAAAGTTCCTGAACCTGAACTTCTTCATGATGCTGCAGATAATCAGAACATCCTCAAGACACTATAGATTATCAGAACATCCTGAAGACACTAAAGATAATCAGAACACCCTCAAGACATTGTAGAGAATCAGAACACCCTCACGACACTATAGATAATCAGAACACCCTCAAGACATTGTAGAGAATCAGAACACCCTCAAGACATTGTAGAGAATCAGAACACCCTCAAGACATTGTAGAGAATCAGAACACCCTCACGACACTATAGATAATCAGAACACCCTCAAGACATTGTAGAGAATCAGAACACCCTCAAGACACTATAGATAATCAGAACACCCACAAGGCACTATAGGTAATCAGAACACCCTCAAGACACTATAGATAATCAGAACACCCTCAAGACACTGTTGAGAATCAGGACATCCTCAAGACTGTTGAGAATCAGATCACCATCAACATAATGGCGAGATGGCTATTGGCAATTTACTGAACTCAACTCTGATTAAAGCGGAAGTTAGATAAACAATTATACCACGAGTCCCTATAATCACTCTTTACATAAGGGTAAGTATGCTGTGGTAAACATTCCCTGCTATGCTCAGTACTTCTAAGTGCTTAAGCTCTTTGAATATATTTTTTACTTGAATATTATCGCCAATTTATCTTAGTTAGCAACACCTACCAGCAAACGATACTTTTACGAATCATGCACCCATTTACTGGTAATAACATTTGTGTGGGTATATCAAGTGAATTATAACAAATGGTTTGCTTACTTCAGCTGCGACACCAAATGACGACAATAACGAGATCCACAGTGAAGACAATGGTCAGTACGACAACAGGCAGTATTGTATGGTCAACGAGCGCCTGGGTGTCGTCAGCAGCTGAGGGGAGTGTTGCCACAAGCGCCCCAAACTCTCCCCCAACGGTGGTGTTGCCAGCAGCTGAGGGAAGTGTTGCCACAGGCGCTCCAGACTCTCCCCCAGCGGTGGTGTCGTCAGCAGCTGAGGGGAGTGTTGCCACAGGCGCTCCAGGCTCTCCCCCAGCGGTGGTGTCGTCAGCAGCTGAGGGGAGTGTTGCCACAAGCGCCCCAGACTCTCCCCCAGCGGTGGTGTGGTTGTGGAGCGGGTTGAGGCAGTCTGGACCTGGGGCTCTGGTGCTCCAGTAAGACGACCCCTTAGCCTCTACCCTCATGTGATGAAACCTGTTCGCCCCGTACAAGTAATCTAATGGTGATTTGGCTTCACAGTTATCTACTTTGACATTAATTCCCCATGTACCAACTTTTAACCTCCTGGGATAATAACCAGCATTAAACGCAAGGGTGTACCAGCGAGGTCCGTCGTCGACACAAAGGTCTTCTTTGTTAAACACTCCGTCTTGTTCACCATGAGTTACTATCAGTGTAATACGTACAAACTTAAAGTCATCTTCGGGATAAAAGTAAAGAGTACCACTTTGTTGGTCGGTCTTCATAACTACCTTTAAATTATTACTGACATGAACACCTTCATTAAAACAGTCCTCCCTCTTTTTCCTCCGCAGAAGGGTCATGTTGGGATATAAATGTGTCACAACTGGTTGTAAGGGATTCTGCACCGAGGACTGTGTCTCACCCATCGGTGTGTTTCCTGTTAGTGGCACATCTCTGGTGGAGACCAGTGGTGGGTCTTGCCTGGGGGAGCGGGCTGGTCCTGGGCTAGTAGTTAGTGGGGACTGCTGTAGTCCTGGGCTGGTAGTTAGCGGAGACTGATGTAGTCCTGGGCTGGTAGTTTGCGGGGACTGCTGTAGTCCTGGGCTGGTAGTTAGCGAGGAGTGCTGTAGTCTTGGGCTGGTAGTTAGCGGAGGCTGATGTAGTCCTGGGCTGGTTGT